TAGCAACAGTGATGTCAGTTTGATTTGGTTAGATCAGGGCTATGGAATATTAAATCAGCCATATTTCCTTTCCTTTCTTACTCTCAGATGTACATAAACTACAAGTTATACACTTCTTTTCAAAATACCAAAATGTGAAATTATCCATTATCGTATCGGTTATCGGTCATGAGAAGCAGGTAATTATTGATTATCGGTATCAGTTGAAAAACTCCATATCAATGCATCCCTAATTTTCCTACAAACAGCAGTGTACTTTTTCCAAATGAAATGTCAATGAATCACAAATGTTCAGATCAGATTTTGCTGATTTGAATCACATTTCTATTTCTTATCCACACTACAGATTTTTTTGCAGTATCCCAGAAGGTCTGAATTTCTCAGGCCTCTAGGTGCTATTTTGTCAGAGGATACAGCCTTGTGCAGGTAAGGTGAGAAAGTGTTCACTGTTTGGTGCTCTTCTTCCTGGGTGAGTTGTATTTAACAGTGCTATGCTCTCTTGGTGAGGCCGTGCAGCTAAAAACCTGAGGCGTGTTTTTTCACTGTGGTAAACAGGGAAAAAAAATGTTATTTTTAAAAAAAGAAAAACTGCTCAGGCATCACATCATATCCACTACATGCAGGCTGGTAAGCACCGATTGTTGACAGCTAACAGGCACCGCAGAGCAGCTGTCTCCCAGGTGAACTCATTTCAATTACGGGAGTGGATCTCTCCCAACTGGATTTCACTCTGTCTCAGCCGTCAACCCATAGTGACAAAACAGGTCGACGTGCCACCGCCAGTGGGGCACCGGCTGCCAAGGAAACCCTGTCAAAGCCAAGTAAATGCCTTTCTCGCTACATTGGTGCCGAAGTCGTGCCAGGGAAACACTTGCTCACCAGTGTCTCTCTCCTGTGAGAGCCAATGAGCCCGGCAGCCAAAGGCGCCTTGCTGATAGGGATGGAGTGTCTCTATGGTAACAGCAGAGGAAAGGGAGCTGGTAAACACAGGTAAATGGAATTCTACAAAGGCTGGGAAAAAAATACCATTGATGTTATAATGTGTTCACCTTTAATGCAGTAAAATCATTCATGACGGGTAATATTTCAATGGGACTCATGACCTTGTACGTCTTAACTACTGTTGCTACTTCACATTCCTTTCCTGCGTGATACTTCTAGGTCAGACAAAAGACAGCAAGAGATACTATAGCAGGTCAATACAGTTACAAGGTCTACAATGTGTTCTGCACCAGTGGGTTATTAGCAGCTTCAAGGGATGCCTCAAGATTAGTCTTTGTGTGGTTCTAAGTAAACACCTTTCTAAGTCATTAGTCTTGTGTTGTCGAGCACTTCTCCAAGTGTCGTCTGAGCGTGAAAGCGTTGTCCTTTAGACTGGTATTTGTGTTTCAAATGGGCAGGAGAGAAAGAGAAAGACAGAGGAGGGGGAGATTATGACATTCCACACATCCTTGTCTTCCAATCAATGTAATTAGGAGTAGGGAGGCACGATAATATCGACACATCATCAGTAGATAAAGGCTTTAAAATGAAACATTGGCATTGGCTCAAAGTGAACATATCTGCTAATATGACAGGCCATTAAAATTATGCTTTAATTATGTGAATGTAATTAGTCCAGATCTGTCAAATATGCCTTGATTGTGGCTATTGTCGGGGTCGGGATTGTATCAGCATCATCAAAGCCTGTTTAAGTAGAACGAATCTGACTGTTTTGCTTGAACATAAATATTGAAGTTGACAGTTTTCTCATACAATTTTTCTACCAAAATTGGTGCACATATGCAGGTTTTTAGACGCGGAAATAGAAGTCAAAAAAAGCATTTGACTCTTTTTCCATTGCCAGTAGACCAGAGCAGTACACGGCCCCGCAGTAGACGAGTACCTTTCTGTTTTTATTTATTTATTTATTTATTTTTCTTGATGTGACACATTCAATGTCCCGATGGGCCTGAAAACAGGTTAAAAAACATCCAATCATTCATTTTCCATAACGGCTTATTTTGTTAGGGGTGGCGGGTGTGCTGGAGCCTATCCTCCCAGCTGACATTGGACGAAGGGTGGGGTACACCCTGGACATGTTGCCAGACTATCACAGGGCTGACACACAGAGACAGACAACCATTCACACTCACATTCACACCTACGGGCAATCTAGAGTCACCAATTAACCTGCATGTCTTTGGACTGTGGGAGGAAGCCGGAGTACCTGCAGAAAACCCACGCTGACACAGATGGGAACGTACAAACAGGAACCCCATGGTTTTAACCCCTCTTTATGGAGGCCAGTGACAATGTTACCATGACTCCTTCTTTTTTATATCTCTTAGGTATTCAGTCTCTGTTTCAGACTCAGTGCCGACTAGATTTAAAACGATGTTCTAGCACTGCCTGGATGGAGACTGACAGCGGCACCTCATTGTATTGTGTCGCAGAAGGGGCGAAAATTAGCGCGTCCACGTGGGTGACGTAATACATATTGATTGGAGCCGATTGGAGCTGGAGCCGATAAATACTGGTGACTACAGCAGAGTCATTTCTCCAAGGAGTGAATGCTGACTGTAGCCTTTCCCATTAAAATACATAAGTCAGATGCTAGTGGGTGTTGGTGGTTTTTTGTCCAGTGGGAAAGAGGCTTTATTTTGCCCCGTGAACATCACGATCAAGCATAATATTAATTCCACTACAACAGAGTCTTGATTGTTCTCTGCAATTACATGGAATAAAATGTGCATTTATTGACATTGAAATCGGCCAAAAGTAGTCAGAAAATATCAACGAAAACCCAATATCGTGCATCTCTAATTAGGAGCATGGATTTAATTCCATTTAATTCCATTCCTCCTGAGTCCCCAAAGTGAAAGGGGAATATTAAACGTCTCCTCTTATGAAGACCTTGACAGTTTGTTTAATTGAATGAAAGGAGATGAGCACATTCTCAACTTAATTCCCATCAGCCTGAGGTGATGCACATTCAAATCATAACTGTAAGTTGATTATGCTACAGCGCTGATGTTAAAAAGCACAACTATCATAACCTTTACGACCGAGCCTCATCATCGACCTTCAATGTAATTATCTGACTGGCCCTCAGGGACATAACGGTGTGGGACCAAGCTGCCAGTTGTGTGTCAAACCATCAACAAACTTTCCAGTGGATTGGATGTGTGAAAAGCGTGGACATCGCTGTGATCTATACTGTATGCACCTGCAGATAACACATAATCTATAATCGAGCCCGCTCTGGCCCAAAGAAGCACACGGTGCATCAAGCTATTCCCAGAAGCTCCCAGTGTCTGTGTTGTCAAGGCACATGACGAGCACTTTGGCTTGGAAATTGATTGCCAGAGAAAATCCCTGGAACTGAAAAAAAAGGTGTCTGACTGCACACCAGCCACAAATCACTGACAGCCACGCACAAAATATAAAAATTTAAACAATGGCACAAACGCTATGCTTATTGTACCACAGACAAAGCACCCTTTGTCCCCCCGAAAAACACTCACTCCAGCTGTAACGCTGCTGTCAAAAATAGCAGCCATTGAGTCTCTATGCAGAAGCAACAATGCCACTTCCAAACTTGCACAAACATCAGTCTGCACCAAGACGATGCGCTACAACAAAAGTGACGCTCTGAAGTCATACAACTGCTCAGTCACTATAATTAATGCCGTACTTCCGAACACAACAACTGAGAACTATATTTGTGAATCATTACCATAAGCTTTTTATGATGTCTCTTTGAATGTGTAGCAGAGGGGGAAGCTGGTATTTATAGGCAGGGTTTTGACCACTGATCTACTGCGTTATATTAGGAGGAAATGATTAATTCATGACTAATGGACTCATGAGGATTAGTCCAAAGTGGAGTTATGACCTGTCTGCTTCTTAAGAAAAGAGCAGAAAGCCACACAGAGACATCCACAGTCATTTTGTGCTGCTTATTCTCTGTTAGATTGTTGTTTCATGCAGTTGATGAACAATAAAAATGCAGTCCCTTTTATTACCCTTTTAATGTGCCGCACATGTAGTCATTGTCAATATTAAAAGCACAGGTAAATTACAGGAGTCGGAATTGCTGCTGCGGTCACTGGGGGGAAAAATCTAGCTGCCGTCTTTGGGTGTGTGTGTGTGTGTGTGTGTGTGTGTGTGTGTGTGTGTGTGTGTGTGAAAGAGAGCTCACTCCACGAGCATCTCCAAAGCGCAAAATTGATTTACACACAGTATGAAGCTCAGCAAGCGTTATGTGTCAGCTGCTCAAGAGTTAAAATCACATTTCAAGCCTTTATTTTCATGACACTTGTCATTTTAGGAAGACCAGGTTACTAACACAAGCCTAGATATGTGCAAAGAAAAGTGCATTCAAGATGTGAAATGACATCTTTAACAGCAACTTTATCTTTATCTGATGTGATGCTGCTGTGTTGCACCTGTATGTTTTGATTCTTGATGGGTGTGGGGCGAGTCTAGCTTCTGAGATGTGCAGAGTAATAGATTACATAACAGAAAAACACACAACAATATATCAACTGCCTCACAGAATCTCATCCACCTGTCAAGTTTGGGTAAAGCCAACATTATGCAACATTCCACTTAAGTGGATTTCCAGTATCTGGCTTCACACAGAGACAACTTGAGAGGTTTCTAAGCATGTATAAAGATCTTTCTGGTGCACAGAAGGAGAACTTTTGCCCATATTCGCAGATGCAGTGTTGCATTCATGATGGTTCTTCTCATCTAGAAAAGTGCAACACATCTGAGCTCATGAGCTTTAACATATGCATACAATATTTCATGCACAGAACTTTACCTTCAGTCAAAATGCCTCATTTCTTATGGTTTTCAACTGCAAGGAAAATTCAGATCAACAGGTGCCAATCAGCCAACCTCCCTAATAAAGCCAGTATGACTCAGAAAAGCTGATGCACGCTTTTTGCTTTGATTATTCCAAAGCAAACAGGTCATTTTTCCTGCTGTGATATGATAAAGATCCAGCTCACCTGTGTCTCCCGACAGTTTTCCAGTGGCTGCGTGTGTGTGTGTGTCAGAGTTGCTGTGGATCAAAGCTGTGCTCGCTGCAGCAGGACTCTCTCCTTTTCTTCTGGGGACGAGACGCAATCAACTTGGGTGAAAACAACGTTTGGATATTTTTCTTGCCATAGACGACAGACAAAAGCTCATTTTGGTCCTTCGAAAGGCTTCCTGAGCTCACGCTCCGCCGATGCGCGCCCAAATATGGGCATAGGAAGTGCAGCGACACTTCACTGTCCTCAACTACTGTCGGAAATATCGCATTTAGGAGCCGACCGCACGAGAAACACACACATACACACACAAAAAGGTTGAGGCTAGATGCAACAGGGAGAGGAAAAGCTTTAGTACTGAGTGAGAGGGGCGTAGCTGATGGTTACAGACACATGTTACTTGTATGTATTCTACTTGTTCCTGTTTTTAGCCTGGTTTATTTCTTCATTTCGTTTAGTGTGCTGCCAAAATGCCCTTAAAGGTCAAGTATGAAGCGTTTAGTGTCTTCCTGTTTGTCTCTTTTCTTAGGTGAAAGAGAATTTAATGAATGGTTGAAGGCACTCTTGTTAAGATAAGCAAAAAATGCATAAATATTATCAAATTCATATTATTATGTTTCAGAGTACTTATGACTGTAGCATTATTAAAGGTCCAGTGTGCAAGGTTTAGTGGCATCTAGTGGTGAGGTTGCAGAACTGAACATTCTCCCGTGCGACAAACTGCCAGCTGCCTCTCACATATTACGGGTTATTAAGAAAATAAAAATAAATGCGAATGTTTCATCTTTCAGTCATTATTAATCAATTCAGCTTTCCGCCACTCCCGAAGTCGCCGGCCCTTGCGCTTGAATTTATGCTTCTTAGCTGTGGCCATGTTTGCTACTACTACTATCTTACTTAGTGCATGTGTATGAACTGTTTGACTGACCAACCATCGTGCACCCTAAATTGTCTGGTGCTTGTTCCTTGGTGTGTTTCTTTTTGGGTCCTCAGTAGCCTGTATTTGCTCTGTGTTTTATGGTCCTTTTTTACTTTCTTTTTGTTGCTTTGTTTTAATTGTTATATTGCCTTTGTTTTTATTGATTGCATGTTTTATTGTTTGATTGATTTATTGCATTTTGTGAAGCACTTTGTGAATGTTATTTTTCTGTGAAAGGTGCTATATCAAGTAAAAAATATAATAATATTACTATTATATTTTGAAAGACAAGCCAAGGGCCATTCAAAATCAATCTGTGGACCACAATTGGCCCCTGGGCCAGACTTTGGACATGACTGATATAGGAGAACTGCAGTAGCCAATTAGCCTGGTTCCAGACCATAGACCCCGCCCACTCAGCTGAGTAGGCTTGCATCTCTGGTCTGGCATACTGCAATGAATTTGCAATTTATCTCGTCCAAACGATGGAAGGACCAGTGAACGCCGGGGATGGGGGCGGGTCTAGCGATTAGCCAATCAGCACCACGCTGATGTCAAGCTGTGCGCCGGTGGGTAACTGGTGAGGATAGCAACAATGGCAACTGCTACAGATCCTACAGATCCTACAGACCACATTCACCACCACTCGTGTTAATGGAGGACCAAATTAAGGAAGCTGCTAAACTGGATTTAATGGCGATGCAGCTGGGCGTGCACGACAAGGGAGACATTTTAAACGGGCAATACTCGCTTGTTTTTCGGCACCCCAGAAGCATGGATACTAATGACGTCAGATTCTGGGTGAGTTGTTGATCTCTACTGATTGGTTAGGGAAAAATCAAATTCCCTCCCCCTTGTAAATCGCCTTCAGTGGAGGTGATGTCAGACTGAAGGTTCTGGGAGCTTCAGTCTGACACTCAGTAGCCAATGTGATAAGGCAAATGGCCTTATCTTGAGTCTGTGTTTGATTTGTCCGTTCTAGGCTACTGTAGAAACAACATGGCTGACTCTGTGGAAGAGGAACCGCTCTGTACGTAAATATAAACAGCTCATTCTAAGGTAACGAAAACACAACAATTCTTACATTGAGATGATTATAGACCAATAAAAACAAAGTTATGAATATTAAATACCATTTCTGCTAATAGTTGCCCCTAGATCCTATGCACTGGACCTTTAATAACCTTGCTTGACTTGATGTGTTTAATGTGCTATAGTTTGATATTCAGTCTAAATTCAGGTAACACAAATGCACAACAATAAAATATCACACAAAGTGAAAAGTAACACAAAGTAAAATTTTCTGTCTCTCTATATAGATTGAAGTCAAGTAATGTAGGGCATCAGGTACAATGGGACAAATAAGGTTTTATATCTTGGGCTTGGACAAATGTATTTTACATGAAACAATTATTTTAGTTGGTCTGAAACAACTAGTAGTAGCAGAGCAAAGAGTCATCAGTGACTCGCCAGGTCAGCCATGTGGCATGTTGATTTGGGTAATTAGAGTACTTCTGCTAAAACAATAAGGGTATAACAACAAAAATGGCTGTGGGGATGTTGCATTTTATTAAATTTTGGACTTATAATTAAAATATTTTCACTGAACACTTTGCTTTTTAAGTGAGTGCTTAATGCATTCAGGTAAAATGTGACAAGAAATACAAATGTGACATGGGACATTTGTACTGAAGTGAAACCAGCAAGTTTTTAGGCTTCAGGTGCCATAAAATCATGACGTATGCTTTTGTGGACCACCCTGTCATATTACAGACATTTTTAGTTATTTTGACATTTGAAAAAATATCAAAAATAATGCAGTGAGTCCATGTCAGCCACAGTACTTCAGAATTAGCCATGCAAGCACACAATATCGCACCAGGCAGCAACAGAACAGGGAAACTATAGCAGAAAAGCTGGACAATATTTTTTAATGAATAGCCACGTGTTACATTAATGATTTAATGGATTAATTACTGTAGTGCTAAGTGGATTTAACAATAAAAACCCCAGACATGACTCTTCCATTCTTCCTGAACATAACTTCGTAGCAAGGTAGGGGCTCTTGTTAAAATAAACTACATGGTCATGTCACAGCAGGCCTATAGGGAAGCCGAGAACACTCTAGTGTCATATCATCAAAATAACACTGACGGTTTTTCTCTTTCCATGTCTGTGCATGCTCTGTGCTGTTGATTATGACTTCCAACAATAGGAGCACTTGAAATAAATGAAAAATAAAAGTTTACGATGTGCACCTGAAGGCACCACTTGACTGTTGCTGAGGGATGTCGCCGAGAAAAATCTCCAGCGACGGAAGGAGCAGGTTCATCTCTCAGTCAGACTGGGAGTCATGCAGCACACTTTGACTTTGTTCTGCCTAATGAGCTCATCTACTAATATAACACTTTGATATGATTTAAATACTAAAAATATGAAATACTCAGAAGACTAAGAAGCTATCAGACTTTACAGGGTGCACATAAGGTCTCTGTGTCTAATATAAGAATTAACAAACTAAAATTCTTTATATTATATTATTATTTTATTTCATTTATTTATTTATTGGACTGTGCTTAATGCTTATTTGATTTATGTATAGGTCCTACATAACACAAAGCTGTAGCTTTATAATATGTCATGTTAAATGATGTGGGTTTCCATTTACAAAGAAAAATATAAAAGGGACAAAAGCCTTTTGTTTGGCTGCATGCGTCAACCATGAGCTATTATGTTACTGTGCAAAGCTTTTTAACATTTGAACCATAATAAAGAATAATAGATGCTTAAACATCTGATTAATATGTAAATAATTTCATTAAAACACAATATCTTTCATGCTACTTGTGCTAAATTGACTCCACTATGTTTTGTATATGTGCCTCTTTGAGAGACACTCTTACAGTCACATTTACAGCCCATAATAAGGCTGAGCGTAGCATAAACAGCACTTTGAAGCCCTTGTATCGTAGGACGCGTCATGCATTTTCTCACTCCTCTGTTTGCACATGAGGACACATGAACGGAAGGGCATGTGCATAAACGCTTTAAATAGACACAGGAACATTAATTATACGCCTGTGGGGTAGAGGTGCCTCTCTAAGCGGAGAAATTATTTCACACACGGCCATTATAGCAGAAGCTGCTGTCAGGCACCGGCTCGTGACACACTGACAATTCACCAACGGAACCCTTCATCAGCATCAACAAAGTCAAAGCTTATCAGCATCCTGCGATTAGGGAGTTTCCTTATCATTGTTTACCTGTAATAATCTACATAAGAGCCACTTCTGGAGCCTTCGTCATGTCATGTGGAACAATTTAATTTAATCAGTTACTGAGAGTGAAATTTGTTTGTAATACCCAGGTAACAAAGATCAAATCTGATCTGTTATTTGGAAGTAATAAATTGCAGATCCCTGCTGCACACACCTGCTAAAAGGGTTTAAAAGCCATTTTGGAGCTACTTCACCTTCCACAGCACTTCAGCTGTGCGTTGGGTAAACATATATGCATTCAAGGAGATAATAGCTGCAGCTAAGTGTTTAAAACTAGTCCTTCATCCAGTGTTTTCAGCTCAAAGTTGATGATAGTTAATGCCTAATCCTTGGGTGGGTTGTGATTGGATGTTTGACAGTTTGTTTTTTAACTTTACTTGGTGTTTTCTCACCAGATGTTGAGAGAAGGAATCTTCTCCTATCACTGATTGCCTCCTGAGCTGTGAAGAAGAGGGGGAAACAACGCTAAAGAAACAGACTGACGAGGAGACGGACGCCTGAGTCTGGAGAATTACATCAGAAACCGTCTCTAATTCACTAATGAGGAAAAACAAAAGCGAGGCTTCGCTCTGATTTTGATATGTTTTGACATCATTTTGAGAATCTTAGCAAAAAAACGAACAGAAGGCTTTGTGTTGAGTGATGAGACACATGTGACCCCTTGCCTTGTTTCCATGGACACATCATTAGAGAACTTCCCCAGCTGGCCCCAACTGCTTGTGTTGACGGCAAATAACAAGTGAAGGATTTTAGTTATAACCAGGACGAAGGCGAAACTGACGTTCAAGTCCATCAGTCAGTCTGATTAAAGTCCTATAGCGGTGACGTAATGAAGTCATTACAGTGGATATATTGGAAAGTATTGGAAAGTATTGGAGTGTAACGACTTTCGTGGACAATCTATGAAGAAGGCAGCAATACTCAAAGTCACTGCACTTTCTTACCTTCAAATAGCACATGTCTTCAATCATCCAAAGGTCATTCAGACACTGTACTCATTAATTTCACTGCTGCAACTTCTGGAGACAAAAGTCACACTTCCTTCTGTCCTATCCTTCTCTCTAGCACATATGAGATATCTGAAACCAGTGTTTTCTGCAGAGAAGAGAATACTCTCATACGTGCACACTACATTACTAGTTTATTGCCTCATAAGCGGAAGTGGCAGATTGACCATGTGCATGCCGAATGCTACCCAGTATTATATTACAGATCAATACAGAACCACTGCCACCCAAATCAGAGCTCAGCCCAAAACTTGCAAGTAGCGCAATGGAGGCAGCGAGATGCTCCCAGTACTCCCACTCTGATTTGACCCATTTTGTTCAGTGATGAACGGCACAAAGCTGTTTCTAAATCTTCCAGAGTGGCAGCACATGAAAGGCAAAGGCTTTGAGGTGCATGTACTATACAGCCACCCAGTGGTGAGTAGTGTTCATGTACTGCACCCTCAGTGTTTGGCACACACTACCACTGAGTGTCTGGGTGTGTTTTGGGGCCGCACAAATCACTGTCATGCATCAATCCAATTTCCTTCGACCTGTATTGATCTCTGCTGTGTTTTCCGAGACTGTTGGAGCGCGCCCACAACGACATGTGACAGGGGTTCATCTCTACACAATAAAAGTGTGTGTCAATCTGTGTTACTTAGTGTTTACAGTATACAGATCACTCCATCAGCGAGAACAAGCGGCTCATCAGCACGACACAAAACTATTGTCACTCAAAAGTCGAAAGTTATTATCTACAGAGAATGTGCTGGGTGGTTGTTGACATGACGAGCGTAACGACGGCACTTTAGCTCCTCCTCACACACTCAGACTGTCTTCGGTTGAGTTAATACAAAACAGCAGCACATGATCTTAATGTTATTGGAATATTCACAATATAACAGTGTCTCTTCATCATTGTCTGAGATGTTTTATTGGCATATACATCAGAATTTTGCCTCAAACACTACAGAAGGTAAAGGTCACTGACTTAGACTGTGTAACTGATATGCTGAACTGGATAACACTGGATAGACTACTAACAACAAGCCCACTGTGACACACCTCTTCCCGTATGTGTAGAATTCTCACTCCCTTTATCCTTTATCTTTTATAGCTGAATTCACACAGCTATACTGTGATTACAGGGCGACAAATAAACTGATATTACTCACCCCACATAATTTACCATTACAGTGTCAGCAGGAGTGTCAACCTGGAATAGATCATAAAGCACAACCGTGCAGTCTGCATTTTTTTTCCCCCACGTCAGCTTCATTTGGCATCATTAAATCCCTGAGATAAGTGTGGATGTTCTTCCTCTGCTATCTCTATTCATCTGCTCCACCCACTTACCTGAAAAGGAAAACTGTTAAAAAGGATGATTCATATTGAGTAAATACTTGTGTGCATTAGCCACTGACTCACAGTGGCTCTGCTCTCACTCTCAAGTCCACTTTACTTAATTGGCTGCACGCTGAAGATGTTCAAAGACAAGGACGTATAGATAAAGTCGTGCATTTACACGTCACCGCCATGCCACTCTTGTGAGACACATACAAATACATGCATAACACACACACATGCACACACAGGCCTCTATAATCACTGCAATGAGGTGCTCAATATTTAGACCCGTTGTGCCTCCCTCAGGCAAAAGAGTGAACTGAAAAAGAGCAGTGACAAAATTACTTATTTCTTCCATTTCTCTCTTTTATATATGATTTTAATTTGTTTTGACACATGAATGGACATCCTTGATTTAACCTCAGTTCCTCTACCAATCACCTTGTGCAGAACACGACTTAATTTGAAAGAAAGTCTAAAAAAAACTGATCCACAGTTTCACCCAGGGGAGACCGGGTACGGTTGTAACAACAGGATCGCTGCAACAGCACCACCCTCACTTTGACCTGTGACTCATGTTATACATAAATTGTACAGGAACGCTGGAACATATCCTCAGCAGCTGTCCTAAAGCACATGGGGAGGGTCACTACCGCGCTGGCGCCACGACCAAGTGTTGAATTGCTGCGTCCATCTGCAGCACCATTGATCAGGTCAAGCATCTCCGACCAGCAAGACCCAGCAGCATCACTTTTGTGAGAGCAGGAGAACACCCAAACACCAAAACAAAACTCCAGGCAGACCTCTTGGGGGCAGCAAATGATTGGCATGTTGGACCTGGGGAAACAACTCTTAGACTGGACATTGTGCCTGTATCAGCAACATTAAAACAAGTGGTCATGCTGGGGCTGACAGTGTCCTGGGAGGTTAGCGTAAGAAGGGGAAATACGCTGAACAAGTGGAGTGCTGCAGATGTGGGCGGCATGCTCGGTGTATGCCCGTTGAAGTGGGGGCGAGAGGCTTTGCAGGGAAGTTACTGGGGCATGTAAATGACAAGCCATCAGCAGAGCTTCAGAGGCTGCAGAAAAGCTTCACGATGGCTGTGAATCAGGAGGGACGAGCTGTGGTGTAATGCTGCTGGACACAGGCTGGGAACTGATCACTCCAGGTGGAGTCGCCAGGGTGAGTGGCTCTGAAGCTGAAACACCCAAAACCCTTGATGACCCCTGGTACTATCACTGATGATGTATCCTATACAGTCATATATCTACTACTATATTTTGATTAGTAATTAATTATGCAACTTGTATGAGATTAGAGAGGAGTTTCTTGGGCGTCTTGTCTCATTTCACACCACCATGCTGCTACAGCTAGCTAAACAATGGGTGACAGGGGTCGTGATGGTTGTAACACTTTTAAAAAAGTGTAACAACCATCACCAGTGACAACTACACACATTTTCTCTGTTTTATTCCTTTTTTTAGCAGGCCAGGAGAGGCAGTGAGAAAAACTGATGGAGTTGTGATTGCACTAAAATCTGCATCTGGTGAGTTGAAGTAGGAAGAGACAGGAGGGTCTGTCCCCTACGTATACTTGGACATTTAGCAGTTACTACAAAAAAAACAAAAGAAATTTACAAAATCTCAGAGAAAGAGGATCAACAGCAGCCCTGTGTACTACCTGTGTGTATTTTTTGTAATTGTGTAATTTTTATTTCTTCATCAGCAGACCTGCAAGTGTGGGAGGGAGTGTGCTGCTGGAGAAGCTCAGACAAACGGGTGGAGCCAGGTTGTGGAGGGCTTTATAGGTGCTGAGGAGGAGTTCAGAGTGGATACGCTGGGGGATGGAGAGCCAGTGGAGGTTATGAAGGACGGGGGTAATGTGGTCTCAGGTGTGTGAGAAGACAAGCAGCTGAATTCTGGATATATTGTAGTTTCTTGATAGTTTTGGATGATGAACCATAAAGGAGACTATTACAGTCAACAAGTCTGAAAGTGATGAATGTGTGAAGGAAAGTCTCTGCAGCTGAAGAGGAGAAAGATAGACAGAGCCAGGCAATGTTTATGGAAGACGGCTGTTTTCGTGATGTGTTGGACATGTTGGTCAAAGGAGAGGGTTGAAGAAGGATGGAGTGGTTGATGGTGTCAAGTGCTGTGCTCAGGTCAAGTAGGATGAAGATGTTGAACTCCTTGTATTTGACATCAGTAACAGGATTCTGTGATATAGCTGGCAAAGTTGGAAACTCTAATATAAATATTCAGTGAGTTCTAGGTGCTGCAACAACCATACCTGGTCTCCCCTAGATTCAACTCTAAGGTAAAAACAAGCAAGCAAGAAAAGCTGACTAAGGGTATATCAAAGCTACTTCTGTCAATATATATGCTTTATTACATGTACATGTACAGCCAAAGCAGAAAAAAAAATGTTGAATGTTAACATTCAGTGGCACTGACGGCAGTGCAAAGGCAGAAAGAAGCATACTCAATTTAAAAAGCAGTTATCAACAGTACTTCCTCTAGTAGCCTGTCTGTGATGTCAACTTCAGATCTATATATGCAGCTGAAAATAAGAACTTATATCAGAGTCTTTTTGCATTGAGAACAGTGTAGCTGATTAATTATTATTATATTTTTTTTCCAAACATTTTATTGAGAGTGAAGTCCAGTATGCACAATCCATTAATTAATTTACAAATATAAAGGTTACTAAAATATAAATACAAATATAATATAGACCATCAGTAATTGATATACATAACTTATACGGACATCAATCTCTTTACGAAACTGACAGAAAAAAAACAGCATATTGAAAAAAACTAAAGAGAATAAAAAAAAGAAATAATCAATAAATTATACACTAAAATAAATAAATAAAGAAAAAATAGATAAATAAATAAATAAATTTATTTCCCACACTCCACCTCCCCTACTACACCACCCAGAGGATCTACTTTATAGCAGTAACAGAAACTACCTATAAGCAGAGTTAAGCTCTGCTACTTGGCCTCTCAAGATAGTGAATAAAAGGTTGCCAAATTGCATCAAATAAATTCACCTGATCATTCCTAATATATCTATAGCTGATTAATTATTTGTGGGTATTTTGTTCATATTCATAGACTGTCCTGATTCTGTTCAGCTGTTGAAAAGGAACATTTATTTATTTATCAGTATGTACAGTTGAAGTATTGACAATTAAAATGCCTGGCTAGGTATATATCTACCTACTGAAAAGACACATAAAATAGAAATAGAATAAAGTAAAACAAAATAGAATAACATAGAATAAAAATAAAACAAAATAAAATAAAATAAAACATAAATAAAACAAAACAAAATAGAACGAAATAAAAAAACAAAATAGAATAAAATAAAATAAATTAAAACAACATAAAACATAAATAAAACAAAACAAAATAGAACAAAATAAAAAAAATAAACCAAAATAAAATAAAATAAAAATGAAATGAAATGAAATGAAATTAAAAACTTTTACTGCCAGGCTGCTGCTGTTACTCCAGTCCGGTAGGTGGCGGTAATGTGGTTGTAAACCAGCTCACCAGCTGCCAACACAAACAAGACGAAGAAGCAGAGGAAGCAGTAAAACGATTCTGCTATTTGGTAGCTTAGCCCGAATGTGCCTCCAAATATGTGACAAACGTGAGGTTAACCAATTTTCGGACACTCTCTTTATTTTATTTGCCATCACCTGCAAACCATGGCGGACTGTAAGTTTCTGTTGGACACGGACATCTTGGCCAAAAGGGACTGTTGCTGTTTCTGCTGCTCTTGTTGTTATTGTAGCTAGCGCTAGCGTTAGCTAATTTAGCTCACTGCTGTCTTCGCTCTCAGCATAACCGATGTTGATTCATTGCTGCGGGACAGTGAACCGTAAAAACAAGGTAACTCTGGAGCAAGTTACAGACATCGACAACTGTCCTTAACCATGTTTATGTTGCGCTTCTTGACACATTAGTTAATTAGCCTTAGCCAGTACTTTAGGCAAGGTTGCAGTGCACGACATGCTAACGTTATTTAACAAGTGAAACATCAAAGTTACAGCTGCGTGCTTTAAGAGAAGACACCTTAGTGAAAATGATGTTACTAGCTAAAGTCAGCTAACACACCTACGCTGCCAGCAGTTACAGCTGTCTGCTAGTTTTAACATGGAGCAGCAGACAGCAGCCAGTGACATGGCTCTCGGTCTTCACCACACATCTGTCTGAGTTGTAACGCCCGTGAAGGAGAAACCATGTCTTGCAAAGCCGCAACCAAGGACAAGAAGCCGAGCTTCAGCAAGAAGCTGTTCAGGCGAGGCTCTGTGCGCTCTGTAGGCAGTTTCATGAGCAGAGTCCTCAGGACACTGACGGCGCTATCCCACTTTGGCTCTGAGGTGCAGACAGAAGATGACAAAGATGATGGAGGATTCTCCACGTTCAAATCTGGGAGTAAAGATGTGCCCATGGATGATGGGGAGCTCGCAGGGTTTCTGTCTGGAGAGAGAGTTCCTGGAGTGTCAGGCCTCAAGAACCACGGGAATACCTGCTTCATGAATGCAATCCTGCAGTGTCTCAGCAACACTGAACTCTTTGCTGAGTACCTCGTTTTGGAGCACTACAAAGGTGACGAGCTGGATGAGGACAAACCAAAGACAAATGGCGTACTTCTGCAGAAGAAGGGTCCTCTGGCCAAAGGAGAAGTTACAGAGCAGCTGTCAGGACTTGTGCGGGCTTTGTGGACGTTTGAATATACCCCACAGCATAGCAGGGATTTTAAGGTAAATCCACTACCAGTATGGATCCTACTTTTGCACTGTGTGGAAAAATAACTTTGCCAATGCATGCTGAAAACACACTGCCACATAAATGATGTTTAGGATGGAAACATTAATGAACTAATGAAACTTTATGACCATCATATTTAAGCTCACTTGCATGCATTGTAACCTTTGGACCAACACGTTGTTTGTTGCAGAATGCTGTGTCAAAAAATGCCACCCAGTTCAAAGGGAACGCTCAGCACGATGCTCAGGAGTTTCTGCTGTGGCTGCTGGACAGAGTACATGAAGACATCAACTCAGTCAACCCCAACTGCAGACCTGCTATAAAGGTGTGTTTAGAAGACGTGAGGGTTGGTGTTCATGTGACACATTTCCCCCTTTTTTGTTCAGTCACACAGTCCTTAGTGTTTTTATCGCAGTGCTGTTTTGTTATTATTGTAATCATTCTGGTCACTCAGTCAGTGTATCGTGCAAATTGGCTGCGTTCACAGTCCTGCTAAGCTGTGCTTGCCTGGTCTTGCTTCTTCTTGATTCCATCAAACTACTTAATAACATCAGGAGCCTGCATGGCTTTCACAATCACTCAAGAACCCTGATAGACTGTAATTATATATGACTTGTTAATCCGACTAATAAAACCAGTTTTTGTTTGTTCAGCCACCCATTGAAGAAGATGATCAGAGCATAGAGGGGCCGTCTCCTCCCCTCTCTGCTGGGTCATTTGTACAAGAACTATTTCAGGCTCAGTACAGGTGTGTTTTATGCCCAGTAACACTTCAGTATTTTCCCACGATGGCCACATTATCTATCTGCTATATTTAAAGAGTTAATTTTTTGCCTACAGGTCTTCTCTTACGTGCCCACATTGCCAAAAGCAGAGCAACACGTTTGATCCCTTCCTCTGCATCTCCTTACCGATCCCACTGCCACACACACGGTGAGTTACTCTCTTGAGCTGTGCTACAGCAGGAGGCGTGATCCGTTTTCAGTGCTTGCTTGACAGGTTTTAACATGTTCATGACTAGTAATTACTGATATATAAGGTTTATAGAGAAATTTGCATATCTAAAGCAAACATTCACAGGCACAGAAATACTTTTAAACAGTACACAAAAAGTTGTTGTACCTCTTTTTCTTACCATCTAAATAAGGGCAAGTTTTTTGAAAAGAAGTGAGGACACCTTTCATTGAAGTGTGTGTGTTGACAGGTTTACGAGAACTTGAGGCCGATGTATGTGTTGCTGCAGAAGAAGGAATGTAAACGGGTGTGTTTGGAGTATGTGGGGGGTTGAGGGTGCAGGAGGGGCAGCGAACAGGTGTGGGAGGAGTGTGCACATTCAAAACAAAACAACAGTGAGGTCATTTTAGGGGTGGCAGTAAATGTTACTGTCAGTAAATGTGTAATAGGAGGGACCAGTGAACCAGGGGCTGTAAAGCAGGAGAAACCTGCATGAAAGTGTGTTGTGAGAGTATGTCAGAATGTTTATTTAACTGTTTTTGCCAGGCCCCTGTATGTGACAGTGGTGTACCAGGGGAAGTACTCTCACTGCATGAGGATCGGAGTGGCTGTTCCCCTCAACAGCACCGTCTATCGCCTCAGAGATGCTGTGTCACGTGAGACCAAGATCCCGATGGACCAGGTGCTATTCTTGTCTCTTTATCAGCTGAGGGTCTGACACAGTGAAGGCTATGTTACAGTCACACAGTCTTCACCCAGTGTTCCTAAAGTCAGGCCGCCTCTGGGCAGTAGTATGTCATAAACCCAGTTTTTATGAAGTGGACTTAGTAAACAGGGAAGGACATTTTTGACACAGTTGCTCCATCAGATTCTGTGCTGTAAAGAAGATCTGCCATAACGCCGGCTTTTTTACACTCAGCCAAAGATAGTCTTTTAGATAGTATGTTGGCGTTTTGGAAGCAAAAAAGGCGTGACGTGTAATGTAACAGTGATGGAATCTAGTGTCATTTGACACAGATGCCAGTTTGGGAGAACAACTATGCCCTCCCATTCTGTGTTGGTGTGTTTTGTCCAAAATGGCGAGGAGGAATAACAGCACGACATTCCCGCCTTGAGCTGGCTGTATAAAAGGGGCTATTGATTAAAGTTGGCAGGATGAAAAAGCTGCATGAGTAAATGTAAATGAGAGCTAAAGCAGGCCAAGGAGTGATAAAATGATGACTAATTTTTACAGTACCAGTAAGAAAACACTAGAGAAAATGGACACTCGCAGTTTTTTTTAATTGACTGTTTTCTTCTCTTTCAGTTTGTTTTGACTGAAATGTACTATGACGGTTTCCATCGTTCATTTTGCGACGATGACGATGATCTCGACATCATTCAAGAGAGTGATTCCATATTTGCCTTTGAGACACCAGAGACCTTCAAACTGGAAAACATACGCACAAAAAGAGGTAAATCATGCTCAGTGTTTTTGCAAATATTCTGCTTTTTCATATAAAATGAAAAGACTTGAATCTATCAAATTATTTTTTGTGTCTTTCACAGGAAGTCTTCTGGCAAACCTGAATCATAACAACTTCAAGTACGGGCCAGAGATCAGCAGGACTCCGTCTTTCATGCAGGGGGCCATGACTCCTTTATCTGCATCCCCCAATAAAAACCTGGGACCAGAGAAAATGATCCTTCTGGTGTGTAACAGGGCTTGTTCCGGCCACCAAGGAAAGAGGTAATACAGTCACAGTATTCTGTGTTCTGTGATGCTAACTTGTCCTCTGTCTCTCTTAGGACACATGACCTTTATTAATGGGTCATCAGTGTTGTTCAAAGCTTCCTGGAGAAAGTGATAAGGTTTAACAAAGCTATGCACACTATGTTCTTTTAGGTTCGGACTACCTTTTGTACTGTACATGGAACGCACTGTGACCTGGGATGCGCTACAGAAAGAGATCCTGGAGAAAATGCGTCATCTTTTGAGGCCAGGTGTCTACATTCAGGTAGGAAGAGGAACATAACACACAGTTTGTCTGTACAGTAAATAGGTTGATGCCACAAACAGTGAGAGTGTTTAAGAATTGTAGAGACAGGTTGATCAGAAAATCTGTATAACAGATATGGGCCTCCAAAACAAGTGAAATCAGTGCAATGAATGTGAGATTACTACTAGTGAAATTATTGATTGGCATCCCTGTTTCTCTGCTTACATCTTGTTACAAGTCTAAGACCCCGATAACACAGGCGCACTGCACTGCCTTTTTTAAAAATTGATTGCCATTTGTAAATTAAACATGCTTGCTGCACCTTTTTATTGTTGCCTGGCAACCACCCTGTCATGTCCGTACACTAACCCTCCCTTGTAATCAATCTACCATTATTTATTTGTTTTTTTCATAGTAATTAGTAGCTAGTTCCTGAAATGGACAGGCAGAGGGTACTTGCTGTAGCTCTGGTTGAGGGTGAGAGGCTGTCAGTAAATAGTTTGTTGGGCACATGGAAACAGAGATCTGTGTAGGTACATGAGACCCTAATAGAGAGGATGGATCATGGAGAGTACCACCAGTTGGTCCAAGAGCTTCACCTCGATGATGGCCGTTTCCAGGTACATTTTAGGATGACTCGGGGCAGTTTGACAACTTGCTGTCTATCGTCGGGCTGTATAGCTCTGGGTATCCAGCAACTGCTACCATCAGTTTCTCCTCCATTGTTTACCAACTGTCAACTTGTTGTCGTGACCACCACAAAAGGCCCACCTCTCAAATCATCTGATTGGACGATGGAAAAAACGATGATGAAAAAAGAGATGACATGGGGTGCTTTTCCACTCTTAAGTTGGAAGTTTTTTGACTTTAGGAGTTCAGAGAATATACAAAAAAGCCGCCTCCAGCTGCTAAAATGCTTTCTGTGTGATCGGGGCCTAACAGATGTACTGATAGTGGTGTCTCTGTATAGGTTGGACCTTTCAGTCTTCGGGTGGTCGGCGTTGTTGGTATCACCTACCTCCTTCCTCAAGACGAGCGACCACTGTGTCACCCAACAGTGGAAAGGTCAGTTCTGCTGTTGAATACAACATCTGTCTACTGCTTAATATGTGCTGAGTGTTATGACCAAAATGTGTCAATTATTTGAATATAGAATTTTGTGATTTCGGGGTCTTGTAATGACACAAATGTACCTGTCTTTAATACTTTGTGCATTAACTACTGTATACACTTTCATAAATCTCATCCTACTGACATTGAAATTCTCTTTCGCAGCCATTCATTTAAAAGGGTAGATAAACAGTCATACAGATTTGAATGTTATAAGGTGAATCAAATGTTAAGAAGGCATTTTACCATTTCCATTTTGATCTTTACCTCTTCCAAACCAACACTACATATGCTATACATATGCACACAAAGGTAAAGGCAGGCATGATCTAAGCTAATTGGGTGAGGTCAAATTAAATCCACCTCGTTTATCTTCTCTTTGCAAACATGTCCCATTAGTTCTCTTTCTCATAGGCCTGCTTAGGTGACATGCCCTGACATGATTTTGACTGTTTGTTAAAATGCCAGTTTAGCATGTTTGCCTTATACAGTAAAACAAGTCACAACGTTGTTGCTCAATAGAGGTGCACGAATCAGAGTGAAGTCAGAGTTGTGTTTGGTACTGCTATGATTGATCAATTGCTTCATTAGTGACAACCAGAATGTATCTGAATATATTATAGTCTTTATTAACACAATTATTTAAACTTAAGCTGTTACAGCAGAATGCATCAAGTAACTTAATGATTTAATTTCCCATATTAAATTAGCCCATCCGCAAAAGACATGTCCTTCACACTAACCACATTTTTAACTGGAATGTAATTGCACGTGGATTATACGGCTCACAACTCAGGAAAACCTTTTCACACGAGCCTACAGTGACATAAATGAAGTGGTATAAAACCACATTTATAAATGTCACTATTGTTGTTGTTGTTGTTTTTTCTTTTGTTTTTTTTGTTACAGAGCCTACAAGTCCTGTGGACAAGGAGGGCCGCCGCATGTGAAGATTGTGGTGGAGTGGGACAAAGAGACCAAGGACTAGTGAGTGAAAAAGATTAATATTTGCCAAAGTGCTGTGCTCTGTTTATTTTTATCTACAGTAGGTTTGCTCTGCACAGAATGGAACAGAGCCAGGTTTTGACATTTGTTTGCTGTGATCTTCATCGGGAACAATATGTCGGATTTCACAAAGCTGGACTGCAGACACCAAATTATATTAAACCACAGTGTTCATTTGGAAGAACAGGTTAAACCATTTGTTTTAATAACTTGCCTTGTAGGCATGACATCGAATGTGTAATTAACTGTAATCATATTGTAGTCAGTTTGTTAATAGGCCAGCTAACAAGTTTGTCCATGTAAGCGAATATGTAGTGATCACAATTAAGATGACAGGATCAGTTTTAATATTAAATTCTAAAAAAATTATGAAAATATTTAGGAAGTAGGTGTGCTTGGACGTAAATGGTGACACGGACGTGCAGTGGGTATCTCAAAATAAAGGCGTATCTTTAAGATGACGATATATATTGATGTTTACACTTTGGATCAGTGATTAGATTACACCCCTAATCAGCAGTATCATGCATTGAACCAAAGTGTGATCTGTAAGTATTTGAAGTCACCACTGCCACATTGTGATCCTTAATTGGTCAGTCAGGTTATTCAATACTTATACCTGCTTCTCAGCATAATGTGACTGCTCACTGGTTTAGAGGGCAATAACTCAGTCACAGTCACAAAATTAAGCTTGCCTTCACATCGCTGCATGTTCATGGGTCACGTAAGAACACCCTCATTAGCAGGTTCATACTGTGCACACACTTTAATGTTCAAAAAACACTTTATTTTTCTCGTAATGTCTGTGCTGGAACACTTGTCTTTGTCTGCACTGTTATTACAGCTGGGGAATGAGTGAAATGGAGTAAAGCTGCTGTGTATCGTGAACAATCACCAAGAAAAGCTTCTAAACCAAAATCTTTACAACTGGGCATGTTCCAGCATGAATATGTTTCGAAATTGAGGAGAAATGAACAGCATCAGCAACCAAGATTACAGGTTTGATGTTAGCATGTAGCTACATGTAGCAGTGTATGTAATGTAAACACTTGTAGTAGCTTGCCTTGAGCAGACGACCATATGAGGAAATCCGTCACGAGATGACGTAGGCTTGTCTCGCAAGTAAAAACAAAAAAAAACATTGGAAACAGAGTATTTAGGAAGCTCTGAAGCTTGAGGCTTTTACTCACAGGGATTACTTTTACATTTAATATGAATGGTCAGTGATATAAGACTCTATATCTCACAGAAAATAAGGAAAAGCATAATAGGTCCAAGTCAAAATTCAGTAAAATCGATGGTGAGTCACTGCATTGTGCAGGATTTCTGCAGGGACTGTCAAGTTAAGCAAATCCTCAAACATAACGAGGGTTATTATGCAGCTCTAAACCTTTTGTGAGCCCTTGAATGTAGGTGCCTTCACTATTCATCACATTATTTGCTTTTGAAAAAATAAACTTGCTTAATCTTCTTACAAATGTGCTTAATTTGAACCACTTGTGGTTTTAAACCACAAGTAAACAGGAGTCTGAAAAACCGCCTACACAATCAACAACATGTCTGCTCTTATTTCCTTACTTAAGCTAATTACTGTGTGTGGTTAACACACATATGCACACACACACAGATACACACCCTTTGCTGGTCAAATGGAAGTCGCATCTTAATCAGAAGTCATGTGTAGTTCATCAGCTTCCCAGTTTGGCAGTGAACTAACAGTCTTTGGCAAACATGTGGACAATACCCGCAAGACACTGTCAAATGTGAATACTGTCAAACCTGTAGTTAATGTTTGTGCAGGTGTTGTTTGTGAAGCCTTTTCAATGCTGCCTCACCCCTGGCAAGATCCAATACTTTTAGAAAAACTTACGGTACTTAATAGTTGAAGAATATTTTATGCCAGATATTAAATCAAAGACAAACTGGATTACTGTGATGTGTTTAACAATCACATCAAGGGTCTAAATCACACTGAAATAAAAATATTTTACGACTTTACTGCAGTATCCAAATCTCAAGGCAGATCATATGATCCTCACATGACATTGATGTGAGTGAATGAGCCGTGCTTTGTGTTCCCACAGTCTGTTTGGACACACTGAGGAGGAGTACATTCCTGATGCTGAGAGTGTGTATCTGCACAGGGAGCAGCATCATCAGCCGCAGGCCTGCACCCTCGCCCAATGCTTCCAGCTCTACACTAAGGAGGAGCAGGTAACGCTGTGATCGCACACATGGCCAGTGCACGCATACACAAAGCTACACCCCCACACACGATTACTGCGCAGTCAGTACTTTGACATTAGACAATAAATCTTAGATTTGCCTTGGCAAGTCAGTGGTGAGTATATTTTGATGTGTAGCCTCACATTTGTCTTCTCCCCACCGGTCGATCATTTCTCTTCTAAAGTTCAAAAAGTCTTTCACTCTTTGGTTTTACTGTGTATTTGACTTCTAATGCTATGTTTGGAAGAAACTGAGCACAGGCCTACGTACACATTGTGGTCTGACTTGCCTGGGATTGCTCCGCAGGAGAACAGGGAGAAAAACTCGGGGCCTTATCCTGTGTGAGGCCAGTTTTATAAGCAGTGTGGTCGGAGCTTGTCCTTGATGGCTGCTGCCTGGGCTGTGTGTGTTTCAGCTGGCCCCAGATGACGCCTGGCGCTGTCCCCACTGCAAGCAGCTGCAGCAGGGCCGCATTAAGCTCAGCCTGTGGACGCTGCCGGATGTGCTTATTCTGCATCTCAAGAGGTTCAGACAGGTATTTCAGCTCAACCAAACTCTGCTTAAATAGAAAACAGAAATGTGGAACTACACTCTGAGTATCAAGAGCAAGAATCATTTCTGTTTTTGTTTTACATGTAGTTGTTGCTTTTCTTTATCTGTGTTTGCTTTGGACTTGATGTTGGAATTCTTATCTGTTTTTTCTTGTAGTTCTTGTATGGATGCTCATGTTAACATAGTTACAGTTTATTATGTATGTCTTCATTTGTTCATATTTCTGTAAGGTTTAGAAAAATCATTTTTATATTGGCTCTGAAACTCACATATCATGCCAGCACTGACATCGAGAATGCATTCTTTGTAAGTTTGACTAAATGGATCTTAAATTTTATGGAAAAGCTGGCTTGCACTCTAAATAATGAAGCAGTTAAAGGTCTGTAGCTACTTGTCACAAGGTACAGTGAAATGCAGCTTTGCTGGTGTGGCACTTGGGGACTGTTGGATTTCTATACCTCTACGCTGCTTCGCTGCTGAATGATTACAGCCTGGCACATGTCAGCAGTGCAGTGGAGGTGATGAAGCAAGCATTGGGTCAGCAGCAGTTTAAGAAAGCCTGCGCACGTTGCATTTTCACTGCCCCTTATGCAATAGTTGTAGCTACTGTGTACTTTTCACAAAACCACAAATAAACTGACACTCTATGGAGAACATATCACCCTACCACAAGCGCTCTCAGCTGCAACTAGTAGTTCAGCCGGTGTCCTCCTTTTAATGCTGATCTGTTTAACTTGGCCTCTGTTACAGGAAGGGGACCGGAGGGTGAAGATGCAGAACATGGTGAGGTTCCCACTGATGGGCATGGACATGGCACCTCATGTGGTGAAGAGAAGCCAGAGCAGCTGGAGTTTGCCTTCCCACTGGTCGCCATGGAGACGCCCATATGGCCTGGGAAGAAACCCCGACGACTACCTGTATGACCTGTATGCTGTGTGCAACCACCATGGGAACATGCACGGAGGCCACTACACGGGTAATGTACAAACAGTTGTTCATATGGACATAGAATTAGACTGTATGTGTTCATTATCCGTTCTGACCCATTCTCTCATTTGCTTTGTGCTCACAGCGTACTGTAAGAACTCCATTGATGGTCAGTGGTACTGCTTTGATGACAGCGAGGTTTCATCAGTACCTGACGATGACGTGTGTCAGCAGACGGCCTACATACTGTTCTACCAGCGGAGGACAGTTATCCCCTCCTGGTCTGCTAACAGCTCTGTTGCTGGTCAGTATTTATTTCATTCTGTCTAAATAATATCTGCTGTATTTAGAATTCCTGTGTGTAGTTTTATTGCAGTATTTGCATGAACCTTTATTGTGATGGAAGGTTTTGGTTAGTGGTTGAATACTGGAGAGAAACTTAAAACCAATCAATGTAAACATCTTAATTAAGCGGCGTTTCTACCAAACACTTTCGGTATAGTACCCATATGGACTCATTTTTGATCAGTCAACGGACTGCAGTGTTTTTAGCTCCACCTTTTAGTTCCTGATCAGTGTGCTAGGTACCTCAACAGTGGGGTGATGAAAAAGTGGGACAGACTGGAATGGTTTTGTTGGTACCATCCACAACTTTTGACAAAGGAAACGTAGTCATAACTGTTCTGTGTAATGAACTGAACTGTTAACGCTGTTCAGTGCAGCATTAAGGACAGTCCCTGTGAGCAGCTCTCCTCCTGCTCTCTGCCCAGATAGCACAAGCTAACACAGCATAACGTGATCTCATCCCTTCTCGTCATTTTTTCCGCTTGGAGCCCTGAGCAGTGGTTAACATCCGACACCAAACCGTTAATCTCACACCGACAACAAAATGGCTCAACTGTCATTAAACCTGTAAATAAATGTTGGGTAACATTAGCCGTGTGACGCCAACACTTAGCCCTGTCACTGTGTGTCTGTGACTCCTGTCACAGAGCTCTGGTCCTGCTGCAGTAGTCTCATGATAAACAGAGAAAGAGAGGGAGGAGGACTGAATCATTACGCTGCGCACAGATCTACAGTGAAATGAGATTTTACCCTTTTTAAATTGTCAAATATGCAGTTAAGTTGTGGTAATTGGATAAAATTACAAGGATATGCAGAATTCATAGGGGCTGGCTGAATTTGCATTAACTGCTGTGATTGCAGCATCCTGAAGGGACTGATTATGATTTCATTGTGCATGTACCTACTACATAAGGCAGACCTTTTTGGAAAATATTACCTGAGGAAAAATAACAAGATTAAAAGTCTCACTTTGGCTTTGAACCTCTAAAGGAAACAAGAGTTTTTATTGTCTTTCATGCAGGTTCCACCAGTTCATCCCTGTGTGACCACTGGATCAACCGGTTACCTGGTAGTAGGCCTGCTAGCTTGGCCTCCGGAGCCTCATCCAGACGCACCTCTCTGGCATCGCTGGCTGAGTCAGTAGAGTTTCCAGGAGAACGCAGTGAAGATGATGGTGAGACAAAGAAAAAGCCATGTTATCGTTGTACCACTTTTAAGGTCATCCACCCACCAGATGAGACTGGACTTTATTTAAAATCAGACCAAAACCAATATGAAACAGAACACATGTGGCTAACCGTCAGTCACAAACCAAAATGACAAATGAAAACAGCTTCAAAGAGACAGTTTTGATTTCAAACACAAACCTTTGTACCGACAATATTTCCACTGGAATCAAAAAATACCATCAAGGTTTCCCAGAGCGCCTTGTAGTGAGGAACTCTCCCACCTGAACTTACAAACTCCAAAATTCCATAATTTATTTTTCTAAAGTGGGAGCATATTGCAGGAATAAGGCAGAACTTGACACGACATGTGTGACATCTGACTGGGACGAGCTAGAAAACATGCTTGACAGAGCTCTGTACTGTGGGAAACCTCACATACCGAGTGAATCCAAATTAAGACAGATGTTGGCTTGGGCTCCTGTTTGTGGTTAATATAAATGTAGGTTGTGTTTAACCCTCCAGAATGAAGGGTCAGCACAGTCCCCAAAAATGTTGGCCAGGCAAACTGGTATTTAACTACAACTTTTACAGATCTCACTATGGATACTGCCTCTAAATGATGTAATTTGCTGTATCAGTGGTTCCCAACCGGTGGGTCATGGTCCAAAAGTGGTCTAAAGTGATTGTTTTATTATTTGTAGTGTTCATCAATTACATTTATTCACACCCTTTTAGTTGACTTAAGCTATTAACAAATTTAAATAATGTAGTTTGTGTAGTTGTTGTTGTACTTTGGATTAATTCAAGGCTTCCAAAAATGGAGAGCATTTTCGCAAAATGTCATCTGCAAAATGCGAATTTATCCAATTGGACAATGAAAAAAGTAGACAAAGGCTTTGGGTGCTTTTCTGCTCCAAGTTTTTTTCAACTCCAGGCATTTAGGGTGTTCCCACAGTGAAAAAGCAGCGAGCAAAAAGCTTACTCTCATTGAAATCAAGTACAAAAAGCAGTAGAGACTGCTGAAAATTGATCCTTTCTGATTGGGTCTTCTGTCCAGTTTTTGTGCCCTTAACAAAAAATGCATTTCTTCCTAATATGTTTCCTTGTTTTTAGGAGGATTCTCTGTTCGCCCTTTTGTCAGGAGCATTCAGCGCCAGAGCTTGTCTTCCAGGTCATCCATCGCTAGTCCCTTAGCCTTCAGCGACAGTGGGATAAAGCCTTCCTGGTCTCTCTCCGCAAAGCTGCACATGAGATCCAACTCCCCCTCACGTTTCTCCCTCGACTCTCGATGTTCTCCTCCTCTGGAGAGGATAGGCGAGGCCTGCGATGACAAAGTTTCCACGTCCTGTTTTGGCAGCTACAGTAGACACGAACGCTACTTCGGCAGCAGGACTCCCCTGTCCATGATGGAGAGCAACTTCAGTGACCAGGACAACAACAAAAGGTTCCTAGACATGATGTACTGCAGGGCTCCCACTCCAGTGGATAAGAAGAGCACCAAAAATGAGCCAACTGAAAACAACAACCAGATCACAGCTATAGACCAAAACATTCTACCCGCCCAAGCTACTCCTTCCAAAGAGCAGAAGCGTAAGAGCAGTATAGGAGGATTTGGCTCAAAGGCAGAAAGCACAGGCTCCACAAAGAGTTCCAGCAAAGTGGAGCAAGAGAAGACTTCCAAAAAACGTTTGTGCGCAACCCACAAGACTTCCACTGCTGAGACGTCTTCCGGTACACCTGTGAAAGGCAAAAAGGTGAGCAATACTAAAGAAAAGAGTGTAAAGAAAAGCACCGCTACATCCTGTGGAACTCCCTCCAAAACAAAGGAGGCAACTCGGCCTCTAGATGCAACGCCACAACGGAAGCCATTAGTGAGCTCCACACCTCAGTCCTCAGCTTCTCCCTCGCCCACTGCAAAGAAGAATTCCAGTGTCACTGAGAAAAACTCCACGAGTGGTCGGAAAAGGCTGGTAGAAAGGAGCTACAGCAGAGATTCTATGCACACGAGTCCCCTGGTCGACAGTCTCCGAGGCAACTTGGCATCGCACTCTTCACTGTCTAAGAGTGGTGACAGCACCCGGCCTGAGAGGAGATCAGTGAGGAGCTCCAGCAGCAGCTCTTCCGTCACTAGCCTGCGCTCCCCGAGCATATCCACCAGAGACCTGCAGCGCAGCAGCAAATCTGAGGAAAAAGGGTTGTCTTTCTTCAAGAGCGCCCTCCGACAAAGGGAAAGCCGCCGGTCGGCTGATTTAGGAAAAAGCACCTTGCTTGCCAAAAAGGCCTCAGAGAGGACATGCAAGCAGAACGGACAAGCTAAGGACATGGGTGGTGATACTGGAAAAACAGGAGACGCTGTGTCTTCACAGACGTCCGTAGAGACTAATGGAGGTGAGACAAAGTCAGAGACAAAGGAGTCTTCCAAGCCCCCCAGCTCTCTCAGTCGCACTCTGTTAAACGTCGGCAAGTCCAAGTCTTCCACTTCTGAAGTAAGTCTCAAGTCTCCCTCGAACGGGAAGAAGCCTCTCGAAAGGATGGCGTCTTCCCGAAAGCTGTCATCAAGCATGCAATCTCCTGCATGTACAACAAAGAGGCCTCAATGATATATTCATAGTAGTTACATTGAACTCGCATAATGCAGCTATTTTCTTTGTGCCTAAGTTTCAGTGAGCGCCGGGTGTATTTGTAAAGAGACACATTTTTTGATGTTACCGTTTTGTACACTGGAATCAGATACACACGCTGGCGTTGAATTACAAATAGTGGCAGACGGCTTTGGGAAATTTTAGCTGTGCTGCATAGAAAGTAAAGTACTGTACATCATCTGCATATTTTGGGTGCCAAACAGATGCTTGGTATGCCGCCAGTTTGAGTTTTTGGAGCTGTGTGTATTGTTACCAATTACACCTTTTGAGCATTAGGTAATGTTTTGATGCGAGTGAGACAATCGCTTGACACGTTCGATGTTTCCCTGGCATGGCGGGTACATGAGCATGCCATATGCATTCAGCTGTACAGCACAAGTACACACCTGTCTGATTGTGTGTACTTGAGGCTTATATGACAGCTGACAGAATTCCCTGTTGGAATCTTCGAAATCCAATTATCTCTCCTTCAGACAAGAGGCTTGTGATATCTTCGAAACATTGCAGACATTAAGTTCAGTTTGCTTGCAAAACATCCTGCTGGCTACACTGGATCTAAAATGCAGCAGCTTGTACATTAAAAGAAATTAATGGGGTAAGGAGCATTCTCACCCCCCCCCTCCCCCCCCGTATGCACCAACAATGCATAATTTGTCTCGTGGAATAACATTCTTCATCATTATTCAGATGGAATTAAGCTGGCTTAAACCTAACTGGTGTTCTCTAAGCATTTAAAGCTCAACGCTAGTGAGAACAGAACCGTAACATCAAAAAATAATCTCTGGACAAATACCGAAACTGGGTTGATGCTCTCACACACACACACACACACACACACACACGCACACACGTACAAAAGAGTTTCATTCCGAAATAATGGTGGCTAAGCGTTGGCAGTAGTTCTCATTGATTGTTTTAAGCCGATCAAATTGACCATTGATGGGTGAAACCTGCTTTGCAAACCCTTTCTTCACACCTCATTCATTGGTTAATAGGGGTAGGCTGTGTAAAGCTAAGGAGGAAAAGACATTTGTAGACTTTATTTAGTGATAATTTCACTTTCGTGTCTTAAGAGTGTTAAAGATTGATAGCTGAAAACACACCTAAGAGACTTCCTGAGTATGAACCTTAGAAGAATAGAAATACAGAGGTGACGACAAGAAGTGGACCAAAACAGAAACTATTTGAGAAAGAATTAGAATCGGTACTCACGTTGAGACAAGTTTTCCGATATTTAAAAACCTAATTTTTGTTTCTTACTAGTACTTTTTTGATAGAAATGTATTTTATCAAATGCTCAAAAGCTTTTTTTTGTCACAGGGACAATGTGTTTTGGAATGAAACCCTTTAAAATCAAAGTATATGAATCCATATATATGTGTATATATATGTGTCCGTACAGATAATGACAAATATAGTATAGTATATAACTTTTCCCTTCCATGAGCAAGATGAAAATTATCTTAAGCGCCTTTCAATACTGTACATGGAAACAAATATTTGCCTTTGGCAACATAGTAGTCTACTACTGTATGCATCACTGAGTAGGAATGTTGTATTGTTCGCACTTTGTATAGATAAAGTAGTTTTCTTTTATCCAGAGTAGTTATATACACACACACACACACTAACTTAGCAATGTAATTATCTCATTTTTAATATGTTGTCATGATTTCAAGACATATCGTAGAGTCGTGTCAACAGGCCTTAGAGTCGTAATGGTAAAAGGGTACATTCATCTCAATGTTTCAGGGGTCGTTTTAAGGAATCGCCCCTTTACTACACCTGGTGCTGTAACAGACCGATGCTCCTCTGGCACTGATATTTCTTAAAACGAGCATATTTTCAAATGCTGATGTTCAGAACTGTGACCACACACTTCAGTGAGCCAGAAACCTGTTGGCAGCGATTATCATAACCTGTGGTACCTCACTTGAGAAGACAACGCCATTTCTTTCTTCACATGGCTGAAACAGAATATTGGTAATGAGCCATTTAATTAATCATAGAGCTCCATTTCTATTGTCTTTGAGCAGTTGTTTTGATATGTAGGCTTTTACTGCACGCTGGGTTTGTTTTGCAGTAAAGTGACAGAAGCAAAAGCAGAGGCAGGAAGTTGTCACTGCAGCTGTCATGATGCTCGCTGGCCTCGTTTTAAACAATCAGCATTATCGTTTCAGAGTTACTCCACCTGCAACTGCAATATGCGTACATTAGATACCAGCATAGTGTATGTTTTTAATGAATGAATGTGGTTATGCCATTAAAATCCAACCATTAGTTAGTTCTTACTTTAAACATTCATACAATCTTTTACTTGTAGATCTACAGTATTCCTCTCAGCTGTTTCCCTGTAGCATTTACCAGGTTTACATTGGTTCTCAGATGGTTTCAGAGGAAATACAACGCAATTTAAAATTGTACGTATGTTATTTAAATGGCCTGAACATGGTTTGAGCAAATCAGTTTGTGAGCTTTTTTGTGTTTTTTGGCAACACAGTTGTGTAACTTTACTGTGGTGACTTGCAAAAGTTGGATAGCAAGTTGAAGGCTACTAAATAAAACCAAAATTACCATTTGAAACAAATAATGACATTTCAACCCAAGTACAATAATACAAATACAGATTTGGTCATAGAACAACAGAGCACATGTCAAGCTAAAAACACAGTAGACTTAATAACAGGGATGCACCGATTGTGAAATTCTGGGCCCATACTTGTGTTAAAAATAATAATTTGGCCAATATTGATGTTTATTTTGTTTTCGTTTTTCCTCTTTTTTTTTTTTTTCAGGGAAACAAATTGTAAAATAATAACCAAACAGTTTTAAAGTCATTTAGTCATTCATTATACTGTCTACAGATTCAATCATACAAATTTATGAAATAACTGTGTTCTTTTATTCACAAAAATACATCGTTTTTGAAATAATAACTTATTCCGAAGCCTTTTTAAAGATATATAATATATTGTCATTTCCTCTTTAGTATCTATTTTATATTGCTGTGGAAACATCAACAAATTTCTCCTTCAAACAACAATAAATTTTATTTTTAAGATTACATTTGAACACATCATGATAATGTTATAATCTACTTTTATCCAATACTATTTTTTCTAACTAGAGCTTGAACACATCTTAACGTAACTTAATACATCCTCCGTTAGCTGTTAGTGTCAGCAACCGGCCGCTAACAGCTAAAGTAAATTAGCACTCCTTCTGACTATTTCAACACGGTTTCAAATAAGGTGCATCCCCTGATTTTTAGTTCACTGCTTCTTTTCGGCGTCCTGGGATCTTTGATCATCCCAGACACATATCCTATTGTCTATGGGACGACGGGACGCTGTTAAGCCTGTGCAAAATTGATGTGACACAGCAGAAAAGTATCAGCCACTGCCATCAGTGAATGTCACCTTATTTGCTGCAAGGCCGATGACGGTCAACAAGGCTAATATCGGCTTATACCATAGTCTTCCCTACTAAAAAATGTATTTGTTTATTCCTATTGATAGTTTATTGATAGTTTCCAAAAACCTTGCGGGACCCTTTTAATACCGCACCATTAGAAAAAGTAAAGAGGATGCTTGGCTCAAACTGTCAGTGGCAATAGAAATAACACACTGCTGTTTAAATGTTGTGGTTTTCCTGTAGCTGCTCTTTTCTACTTAACATTGTAATCTATCAGGAACCTGTGCATGGCACTTTGGATCAAAGCAGGACAATTTTCTGTCATTTTGGCTTTCACCGTCTTGTTTGCCTGTTTTAAAGTCTGTAATTAAGTTGTAGTGGCTAGTGTGTCGGGCTGGATCATGCCGTCATTCCTCCACTTGCTAAAGGGGACGTTTATTGGATTACGAATCCATTTGTGTGGCCAGAACCCAATGCATTAGGATTTTTTTAACATCTTAATTAAGTTTTTGGATGCATTGTAAATAAGCATCAGTAGATAATGTCAGTCATTCTGTATATTGCTTATGATGTTTGAATAATTTGAGATCATATTGAACTATCAATGAGGCTGATGACAGAATTTTTTTTCTGTACAGAGGTTAAGTCTGAAAGTTGCAGCCTGTGTTTTCCAACCACTTTTCATTCATCCATAACAATTGTATTTGTAGCACCGCTGACTTTTGAGAGCTCAAAATGCCAGTGAAGACCAGACATGTACTGTACTCCTTATGAAAAGTACATACAGTATAATAATCCAAATACCTGTTGAAACAAGATGTCAAGAAAAAAAAAAGAATCAGCATCTTTACAGAATTAATTTTCCTCTCTAGCTTTCGTCACCGCAGTTATCGTCTGTTTTTTTTTTAGTTGTCAATGTACAGATTTGAGAATGATTAAGGAATGCAGTATTGCATGAAAACGCTAATGCATGTATTTCATTAACTATGCAAGAGTCTGCGGCTGTGTCACGTAGAAAGCAGAGCATGGCTGGTATATCCCATTGCTTAATTTGCACACCATTCCAATATTTAGAAGTTGTAAATGACAAACTATTTCATCTGTACAGTTAAAAGGATTCAACTTTAAGTAAAAAAAAAAAAAAATCTATTTAATGCCATAATTCCTTTTAGCATCCTACCATTTAATGTTTATATATATTTTTTATGTTTTTTCACAGTATGTTATTTTGTAATTCTGCTGATCTGTGCTCTCTGGGTGCTCCTACCAAACTGGTAGGTTACGCTGTCTTTTGTTTTTGGACAAGATGTTTAATATTAACTGTTGTACACCAGCAGAGACAACACTATGGATGCGATAATCTCTACGTGGTTACTAAATAGCCTCATGTATGTATGTATGTATTGTGAAAAAGCCTTCCATTAATTCAGTGATAACAGTTTGTGAACCCCTGTCGAAATGCCCTTAGCTGCATCGAAGATGTGGCCGGTCTCTCATATAAAGCCAACTCTAATAAATAAATATATATATATATATATATATATAGTTAAATGCAATAAAGATAGTAAATTTGTAGTTTTATATTATAGTATGTAATGAACAATGACATTAAAATGTAAATGTTCAGTTGATACTTTTTGTAGAATTCACGCCACGTCAATCATTGCAATCATTTTTATTTTTTATTTGAAACAGGGTCAGCAAACAGCAACGTCATCGTTTTTTCTGTTGACTGATGAAGTGGGTGTGAAACATTATTGAAGTTGTTAAAATGCATACGTTAAATAAGATTAGAGAATCCAGCATCTGTTTTGTTGATTAACAGAGTTCCAAAACTTTTTTAGGGTGAAACCATTAATTAACGACATTATCTGCAACATTTTTGCGTAATTTTCTCACTGAATCAAAGTTGCAATAACCACTGAAACTGAGACACCAAAATCCTTTCGTTGAGCCACAGATTTCA